ATGAGGGATTTGGTTTAGATTATACCTGACTAGCTGAGTGGTTTTTCCTACTTTCTTCAGTTTAAGCTTGGTTTTGCTATAAGAAGCTGATGATCAGAGCCACAATCAGCTCCAGGTCTTGTTTTTGCTGACTGTATAGAGCTTCTCCATCTTTAGCTGCAGAGAAGATAAATCAATCTGATTTCGGTATTGCCCATCTGGTGATGTCCATGTGTAGAGTCGCCTCTTGTGATGTTGGAAAAGAGTGTTTGTGATGACCACCTTGTTCTCTTGACAAAACCTTACTAGGCTTTGCCCTGCTTCGTTTTGAACTCCAAGGCCAAACTTACCTGTTGTTCTTTTTATCTCTTGACTTCCTACTTTAGCATTCCAGTTCCCTATGATGACAAGAACATCTTTCTTTGGTGTCAGTTCTAGAAGGTGTTCTCAGTCTTCATAGCACTGGTCATTTTCAGCCTCTTCAGCATCGGTGATTGGTACATAAACTTGGATGACTGTGATGTTGAAAGGTCTGCCTTGGATTCATATTGAAATCATTCTGTCATTTTTGAGATTGTATCCCAATACAACTTTTCTCACTCTTTTGTTGACTATCAGGGCTACTCCATTTCTTCTACAGGATTCTTGCCCACAATAGTAAATATGATAATTGTCTGAATTGAATTTGCCCATTCCCGTCCTATTTTAGTTCACTGACACCCAGGATGTCAATATTCATTCTTGCCATCTCCTCTTTGACCACATCCAGCTTACCAAGGTTCATAGATCTTACATTCCAGGTTCCTATGCAGTATTTTTCTTTGCAGCATCAGACTTTCCTTTCACTTCCAGGCACATCTGCAGCTAAGCATCCTTTCGGCTTTGGCCCAGCCACTTCATTAACTCTGGAGCTACTTGTCTCTGTTTCTGTTCATGGAATTTTCTTGGGAAAGATACTGGAGTGGCTTGTCAGTTCCTGCTCCAGGTGGATCACATTTAGTCAGAACTCTCCACTATGACCTGTCCGTCTCAGGTAAGATACTAGGTAATCTTAAAGACCAAACATAACCTTTACTTGTATACTATTTCATAAAATCTTTCACAGAATAATGTTTATTACTCTTTCAGGCTCTACAAGACTGCTGGTTTCCAAGATTTCTGACTAATCAGACTGATTAAGACAGCTTAATAGAAGTTACTAAGATTTGTTAAAATCACAAAAGTTATCTGCTGGACATTTAAATCACTGCTAGACATCAGAACATTATGCTGAAAAGACAACTTATTTTTCCCAGAGATGTCATACCATTGTTGTTGTTTAGTTGTTAAGTCGTGTCGTGTCAGGCTGTATGTTACCCAATTGTTTTAGATGAATCAGTATTTACAGATCATATTTCATAATAAATGTCTTGAAATCTTGATCTAAACAATGCCCAGAAACCTACTGGCAACTTATACCAGTGTAAGTGTAATTATGTAAATCCTGGTGAACAGCCTCTTGGCTGATGTCTAGGAATGAAAGTAGCAATTCAGTTAGTGACAATACGCTACCATGATTTACACAGTTATGCTTACAACACTTTAACTTCCTGGTCTAATTCTGGCCAGTAAATCAGTTAAAATGTGTATTTTAGTTCAAGTGTAAAAAGCTTTCTTGACAACATATTTCTCAACCACTCAAAATTGCTTACCAAAAATCTACTGAAATGTAGCATTAATTAACTTTCAAAAATACCTGCATATAAGGAAGAAAACCAATGAGCTAAACTAGTGCAAACTTGCATGTGGCTGCTTTCAACACCAGCCTCATTTCACACTCCACACTTTGCTTCCAACCCATTCCCAGGACCACAGTATGAACTTCTTGCTTTACATGAGATTTTCTTCAGTTGCAAATGAACTGCAATGGTATGATGTAATAATGAATTTAGCTGTATGATTTTGGAGGGGCTGAATTTCTGTGTTCTAGTTTTATTCTCATATTATTGGTATTTCATTGAAAGCAACTCTTCATCTTAGATAGCATCACACACATAGATTGCAATTATTAATGATTGATAGCTTGGTTAACTTACTTTGTTTCATCCTCTGGAAGTCGCTGACTCTGTCTTTTGAGGTCTGTTTTACAAATTCCCTTTCAGCTTTATGATTATCAAGGATGTGAACAGGCATTAGCTGCTGAAGAGTGTTTGGAGGTATCTGCTTCATCAAATCAGCATTTCCATCATCGCTGTTGACACCTACAGCATACAAAAACAATACAATACTAGCAGTTTGTACTGTTCATGTAGAAGGAAAAGGCATGTATGAAGTTCCTTCTGAAACACAGGGTCACTGTCCTCAAGCTATGCAGACAATCTGAATGCATATTTGTAATTAAGATTTTATTAGGAATCTGTTACCTCAGTACTTCGTAATCATACCCTTCTATTACCTGCATTACCATTTCCTAACTGAAAGCACAAAGACAGATATTAAGGGAAACATAGGACAGAGCAACTGTTTCCCCAGCACCACCCTCTGGACACGGCCAGCCAGGAAGGAGCGGAACCACCATAAAGTGGTGTCCCCAACTCCCGACCCAGCCAGCCTATCCAGAAGGACACCATGGTCGATGGTGTCGAAAGCCGCTGAGAGGTCCAGGAGTATCAACAGGATCACACTCCCCATGTCTCTCTCCTGGCAAAGGTCATCATACAGGGCGACCAAGGCAGTCTCTGTACCAAAACCAGGCCTGAAACCCGACTGAAAATCCGTTTCACCCAGCAGCGCCTGGAGTTGCCCAGCCACAACCCGCTCCATCACTTTGCCCAAATAAGGGAGGTTCGCTACTGGTCGGTAGTTAACCACTAGCCTTGGGTCCAGGTTAGGCTTTTAAGGAGTGAACGAATTACCGCCTCTTTCAAGGTGGTAGGGACCACTCCCTCTCTCAAAGAGGCGTTCATGGCCTCCTGGACCCAGGTGCGAACCCCCCTGGCAGATCTTTCAATTAGCCAGGATGGGCAAGGGTCGAGAGGAGTGGTAGTAGAACGGACAGATCCAAGCACCCTGTCCACATCCTCAGGTCTCAACAATTGAAACTCATCCATTAATATTTGACCTAAGCATGGCACACTGGACACATCCTCCGATTTTGCAGTAACGGTGGAGTCCAACCCAAGCTCTAACTTCCATACATCATTACTGGAAAAACCATAGCTTTGACTATGCTGACCTTTGTCGGCAAGGTGATGTACTGAAGTGAGAAATGAATTAACAATTTATTAGTGACAGGCTAATTTGTCAAAGCTTAAATTAACACTTAATTATCCATTTCAACCATTTTGTGGGCAAACTCCGCCCCCCTCTGCAACACCTTACGCTCACCATCCGACACTTTCTATAGCTGTCATTAACAGTCCATCTCAAGTCCCAGTATAGGCGCTAGTTGTTTTCTGTGGTTTTCGGTCATGCCAAGATCGACAAGATCCGGCGCTTAATTAATTTCACCACCACCCCCTTCAAGTACCACGATTCTGTCAATATCTTTCCCTATTAATGGAGATTTCACTAACAAGATTGAAATTTTAGTGATATGATGGTCAGTTTAAAGCTCCAGATATGTCACGGGCGGTAGTGTAGGGCAGGGATGACCAAGAGTATCGAGACTTCCTTATTCCTTATTCCTCGACATCTTGAAATAGTTGCTCTTTCACCTCCAGGCAACATTTCAGCTCCATCCAAACCATAATCACTCTCAGTCCCTCTCCGTGATAACTAATGAAATGATGAATCCTGATGGAAAAGTCTTTGGCATCCTGTTAGGTTTTAAGGTCCCATTGCTTGTAAAATACCCTAGATTGTATTCTGATGTACAGATGAGATCAGCATTACGACTTTCGACCTGATGTCTTCTGAGCCAGCGCCATTTTCTACATGTGATGACAGTATCACCATAATGTTGTGGGAACCCAGTCCAAAATTGGAGTTGGAGATTCGAGTGTAAGATACTAGGTAATCTTAAAGACCAAACATAACCTTTACTTGTATACTATTTCATAAAATCTTTCACAGAATAATGTTTATTACTCTTTCAGGCTCTACAAGACTGCTGGTTTCCAAGATTTCTGACTAATCAGACTGATTAAGACAGCTTAATAGAAGTTACTAAGATTTGTTAAAATCACAAAAGTTATCTGCTGGACATTTAAATCACTGCTAGACATCAGAACATTATGCTGAAAAGACAACTTATTTTTCCCAGAGATGTCATACCATTGTTGTTGTTTAGTTGTTAAGTCGTGTCCTCAGGCTGTATGTTACCCAATTGTTTTAGATGAATCAGTATTTACAGATCATATTTCATAATAAATGTCTTGAAATCTTGATCTAAACAATGCCCAGAAACCTACTGGCAACTTATACCAGTGTAAGTGTAATTATGTAAATCCTGGTGAACAGCCTCTTGGCTGATGTCTAGGAATGAAAGTAGCAATTCAGTTAGTGACAATACGCTACCATGATTTACACAGTTATGCTTACAACACTTTAACTTCCTGGTCTAATTCTGGCCAGTAAATCAGTTAAAATGTGTATTTTAGTTCAAGTGTAAAAAGCTTTCTTGACAACATATTTCTCAACCACTCAAAATTGCTTACCAAAAATCTACTGAAATGTAGCATTAATTAACTTTCAAAAATACCTGCATATAAGGAAGAAAACCAATGAGCTAAACTAGTGCAAACTTGCATGTGGCTGCTTTCAACACCAGCCTCATTTCACACTCCACACTTTGCTTCCAACCCATTCCCAGGACCACAGTATGAACTTCTTGCTTTACATGAGATTTTCTTCAGTTGCAAATGAACTGCAATGGTATGATGTAATAATGAATTTAGCTGTATGATTTTGGAGGGGCTGAATTTCTGTGTTCTAGTTTTATTCTCATATTATTGGTATTTCATTGAAAGCAACTCTTCATCTTAGATAGCATCACACACATAGATTGCAATTATTAATGATTGATAGCTTGGTTAACTTACTTTGTTTCATCCTCTGGAAGTCGCTGACTCTGTCTTTTGAGGTCTGTTTTACAAATTCCCTTTCAGCTTTATGATTATCAAGGATGTGAACAGGCATTAGCTGCTGAAGAGTGTTTGGAGGTATCTGCTTCATCAAATCAGCATTTCCATCATCGCTGTTGACACCTACAGCATACAAAAACAATACAATACTAGCAGTTTGTACTGTTCATGTAGAAGGAAAAGGCATGTATGAAGTTCCTTCTGAAACACAGGGTCACTGTCCTCAAGCTATGCAGACAATCTGAATGCATATTTGTAATTAAGATTTTATTAGGAATCTGTTACCTCAGTACTTCGTAATCATACCCTTCTATTACCTGCATTACCATTTCCTAACTGAAAGCACAAAGACAGATATTAAGGGAAACATAGGACAGAGCAACTGTTTCCCCAGCACCACCCTCTGGACACGGCCAGCCAGGAAGGAGCGGAACCACCATAAAGTGGTGTCCCCAACTCCCGACCCAGCCAGCCTATCCAGAAGGACACCATGGTCGATGGTGTCGAAAGCCGCTGAGAGGTCCAGGAGTATCAACAGGATCACACTCCCCATGTCTCTCTCCTGGCAAAGGTCATCATACAGGGCGACCAAGGCAGTCTCTGTACCAAAACCAGGCCTGAAACCCGACTGAAAATCCGTTTCACCCAGCAGCGCCTGGAGTTGCCCAGCCACAAGCCGCTCCATCACTTTGCCCAAATAAGGGAGGTTCGCTACTGGTCGGTAGTTAACCACTAGCCTTGGGTCCAGGTTAGGCTTTTAAGGAGGGAACGAATTACCGCCTCTTTCAAGGTGGTAGGGACCACTCCCTCTCTCAAAGAGGCGTTCATGGCCTCCTGGACCCAGGTGCGAACCCCCCTGGCAGATCTTTCAATTAGCCAGGATGGGCAAGGGTCGAGAGGAGTGGTAGTAGAACGGACAGATCCAAGCACCCTGTCCACATCCTCAGGTCTCAACAATTGAAACTCATCCATTAATATTTGACCTAAGCATGGCACACTGGACACATCCTCCGATTTTGCAGTAACGGTGGAGTCCAACCCAAGCTCTAACTTCCATACATCATTACTGGAAAAACCATAGCTTTGACTATGCTGACCTTTGTCGGCAAGGTGATGTACTGAAGTGAGAAATGAATTAACAATTTATTAGTGACAGGCTAATTTGTCAAAGCTTAAATTAACACTTAATTATCCATTTCAACCATTTTGTGGGCAAACTCCGCCCCCCTCTGCAACACCTTACGCTCACCATCCGACACTTTCTATAGCTGTCATTAACAGTCCATCTCAAGTCCCAGTATAGGCGCTAGTTGTTTTCTGTGGTTTTCGGTCATGCCAAGATCGACAAGATCCGGCGCTTAATTAATTTCACCACCACCCCCTTCAAGTACCACGATTCTGTCAATATCTTTCCCTATTAATGGAGATTTCACTAACAAGATTGAAATTTTAGTGATATGATGGTCAGTTTAAAGCTCCAGATATGTCACGGGTGGTAGTGTAGGGCAGGGATGACCAAGAGTATCGAGACTTCCTTATTCCTTATTCCTCGACATCTTGAAATAGTTGCTCTTTCACCTCCAGGCAACATTTCAGCTCCATCCAAACCATAATCACTCTCAGTCCCTCTCCGTGATAACTAATGAAATGATGAATCCTGATGGAAAAGTCTTTGGCATCCTGTTAGGTTTTAAGGTCCCATTGCTTGTAAAATACCCTAGATTGTATTCTGATGTACAGATGAGATCAGCATTACGACTTTCGACCTGATGTCTTCTGAGCCAGCGCCATTTTCTACATGTGATGACAGTATCACCATAATGTTGTGGGAACCCAGTCCAAAATTGGAGTTGGAGATTCGAGTAGGATACTAGCTGAGAGTGCCCTATATGTACTTGCTGTTTGAAGACTGGCCAGGTCCTGAGAAGTTAATCTGTCCACTAGGGATATATGACACGGTTCCCACAATTTTCTAGGTGCTGGTGATGGCAGTGCTGTCAGGTGGGGGGGGGGGAACAACTCAGAGCCTCCCATGGTCTCCTTAGGAGAACACCCAGCCTGAGATTTTCTCTCACTCCCTGAGATGTCCTCTCTCTGGCAGGCATTCCAATCACTTGTTGTAGTCCTGGCAGCTGGCTCATTTTTTTTCTTCAGCAGTGGCAGGGTGCGAGCTAGCTCAGGCTGTTTTCTATTGAAAACTTCTCCATCAGGAGGGTGAGAAACAGGTCCTCCAATTACCCACATCTGTTTTTTTCATCACAGAATGAACCGCTGTGCTGTACTTAATCAGAAAAATGCTGCTACAGTGCAGTATGTATCCTCTCTAAGGCAAGAACAGGAGATTTTAACAATGGAGATGGTTAGCTGAACAACTGGTAATGACCACAAGGCAAAAATGATTGAAATCAAGCTTGTAGTGTTGAAAGACTGTGATCGAGTTTCCTAAACTGCAAGATTCTGGGAGGCTTCATGCTTTTTCTTATCCAGCTGTAAATCAAAGGCAGACAAACTCAATCATTTAAATCTCCCCTCTGCAGGCACTTCTAGAGGTAGACTATTCCAAAGAGGTGAGCAGCCATAAAAGATGCAGCCATGGACTATGTACACCAAGGCTGGTACTAAATCTGAAACTAGATCAAATCAGGAAATCAAGACTTCTGTAGAGGATTCCAAAGAGTTGATAAGGAAACCAAGGCAGGGCAGACCTGAGAATTCGACATAAATATAGATGGAGCTGGCCTTAGGCAGCTTATGAAAGAGGCATGTGTAGTATATGTTAAGAAGAGAAGCGTAAGACACATAGTCGATATATACATCAGATAGATAGATAGACAGACAGACAGGCTGGGTATGCACATCTTTCAGCAGGATTTTACTACCACAAACAGTACATTTCTTGAAGAAGAAATTTGGGGTTATTAGTCCTGAAATGCCCCATAAAAGGAAACATCCCATAAAAGGGGAAAAAATAAAATACAGATAAAAATAAAATTAAGGAGAAGGAAATAATTATAAAAGGACAAATAAAAGTAAAAATTATGAGAAAAATAGTGCATAGTTTCATTTTGAAAACAAGTCAGAAAGACTCATGTGGCTCTTGGTACTGTTGTTATGCTAACTGACCAAATAACAAAACAACAACAGTATACAGAGAAAGTCACTCAGGGAAAATCATGCTAATTGATATAGCTGGTTACTCCTGACACATTTCACTTAACTGGAGGATTCTGAACCTTTCTCCGCAGATATGTTAATCTTATATAAGTGACCACTGAAAGATACAGTTGTGACGTTTGTCACATCCAATCTCATCCTATTGACTCTGAACATGCAAAAGAGGAACTGGGAAGCTTCCTTCTATCAGAAGGACCAAGGAAAGGATTTTTAAATTTTCCAAATTAACAAATACAGGAAGAAATCTACTTTAGGATGTTTTTTTCAGCTGAACAGGAATATCTAATTCTGAGCAGCTTACCTTGACCTAGATGTGAAGCATGGGCATTTTCTATGGGAAAGTTTCCATTGAGGTGATGGTTATCTTGAAAAGCTGAAACCAGTGGCTTCTTCAAAGCTAAACAAAACATGTTAACATTACGACTAATACTAATTAAACATCTTGCAAGACAATTTAACACCCAGTTTGAAAAGAGAATGATCTAATAGCTCTACTAAGAGATTATTTCTTTCAGCTGAACCAAAACTGATAAAAATATGGTGGTTGTGATAAACATTCTCTGCCTTTACACCATAAGGCTATAGAAAACAGACTTCCCTACTGAAGGGAGATTTCAGTATGCTCTTAATATACATATAAGGAACCATTGGGCCTCCAGATGCTTTGAACTCTGTAAACAGAAGCTTCAACTAACAAAATTTTTATTGTCGTAATTAGCCCAGTGATTACATCAGAAGATCCTTGAGCGAGGTTTAAGGATCTTCTGACATAATCACTGGCCAAATTACAACAATAAAAAAATTAATTATTATTATTATAAGGTACATAGGATAGGATGGAGTGTGTGTCTTGCAGCATAAATAGTAAAACTACATTGAATCTGAACAAACTTTGGTATTGTTCCAGAAAGTTGCAAACAAGTTTTACTGAAAGTAGATTTTGACTAGGTGTTTTGTATATGTCAATAAAAGTTTTTGATTTAAACTAACAAGATAAAAGGGTAAATAACTGTGGGAATTGTAATCTAAAACATCTGGCAGGTCAAAGTTTTCCTACCTTTGCCGTAACAGCTTTAATTATGCCATTTACTAACTAGCCTAGGTGTCTTGAAAAGTCTACTAGTTCATATGGTGTGATGTATTACACAGTTCTAAATGCTGGTGGGAAGCTCTTTCACACACTTTATACTTCTATAAAGAAGAAGAAAACCTAATGGCAACTAAATTAAGTAAGCTTATACTGACAAGCAAAGCGACATGGAATCCAGAAATTCTGGCAGCACAAATCTTTTCATTGCATATCAGTTCAGCCAATCATACCTGTCATTAATTTCCCAGAAAACTGTCTTTTACGCGCCCAGGTTTATGTTCGTAACAAACTTACAACTAACAGTTTGTCCACAGAACAATTAAGAGAAGTAACCCATCTTGGAATACTTCTCCCCACCAAGGGGCATGGGATATAATACCGGACTGGGGAACCTGTGGCCCTTCAATATGAACCAACCATTCCTCTGCTCATCCCTCACAACTAGTTTCACTGGTGGGAACAAGGTTCCCCAGACCTGATATATAAAAAATACTAGAAGATTAGTCAGAAGGATTTTAGAAGCTATAGAAAATAATGAATATTGCTAACCAGTGAGTATATCTTCAGCTTTAGCAGGATCATTCTCTTCTATCCCAGGCATTCCTGCATCATCTCCTGGTTTAATTTTCTCTGTCAAAACAATATGATATTTCTCCTTACTGCACCTTACATTCAAGTTTAAAGTGCATTCAGAATAGTTACATGGCAAGAGCTAGTGGTGCTGGATCAAGGCAATACAAAATTTCTTCATCTCACTACATGATCTGCTGCAAAAGTAGGTCACTCTCCAAAATCTCTTGATCAAGGTATACAGCTCCATGTTTCATAACTAGGAAGTTCTTAGCCAGCTAACGATTCTATACTCTTGAAAGACCCGTGCCTTACCACGGTTGTACTAGACAGACCTTTGCCATCTGAGATATTGTTGACTGAAGGTACTTCATTTGTAATTATATTCCTTTCATCCAATTCCTGAGTTGCCTTCACTGTTGCTGGATTACTGTTCAGACCTGCACCAACATCTTTATTAGACTGGCTTATCTGTCCAGTCTCCTGTGAAAACATGAAGAACCATCTTAGAAAGGAACAAATTCATTTATCTTTTAGTCAGTCACCAACTGTTCTTTTCACTCTTAATTGTCAAGGTAATTAGCCTTCTGTCAAAATACATTGTATAAAGAAGTGGAATGCTTGCCATTTACCGCAAGACAATAATTTTATATAATGGTAGGATAATATCCTAGGATGCTCCTCCTTTCTCATTCTGATAAGAAGGAATTATTAACCAACTGAGGATATGCCACAATGCCCCTAGTGAAAGAGAGTGGCCTGGACATCCTGTGATGTTCCAGAGCCACCTATATATAAAAGGCTCTCTGGCAGACTTCTCTCGTTTGTGAAGTCTAGCAAAGGTGGAGACCAAGTACCATATACTGCCCCCTTCCAAAATGTCTGGAGACAGACTCTTTTCCTCTTGACCTAAATCCATCTGACTCAGCTACTTAGTCCTGGGATTCAAGACTCCATTTATGGGTCAGCTTCTAGAAAAAGGTAGGACTCTATCCAAGTCCTTCTTCTGCCATAAAACTGGGACCTTGTGCCCTCCTGAGAACTGCCACAAGCATTTGCAACTACCATATTTTCCATATGTAAGGCGATACTTTTCTCTAAAATACTTAGATTAAAAATTTAAGGTTGTCTTACACACGGAAGCAAGGAGGGGGAGGGATCAAAGCACTTTGATCTCTGCCTTCCCCCTCCACTTTCTTGCGAAGAAAGAAATTTTGGTTTGAAAAGGGGAGATCTTATACGTGGGGGTGTATTATACACAGAAAAATACGATATAATGTCCACCTGAACCAGGACTCCCCTCCCATACAATAACAGCACAAGGCTGAGCCAAATGAAAGAGACTAGCTTCTTCTGGACAATCTGTCTTGAGCCATATGATTTGAACTTACAGTGATTTCCCTGCCCTGTGGGACTGGCATCTCTTGTGACATTAACCTTCTTAACCTCTAGAAACACTTTAGCTGTAGGTAAAGCCACCAGAGACTTCTCTGCTTTAAATGTAAGTTTTATTTAACACAACCAGTAACTTCAGTTACTTCAAATGGCTCAACATCAGTCTAGCCCCTTAAATAGTTCACAATTTGGCGTCCAAGGGTAATGTTCTCTCCCATGCTTCTCTTCCTCTAATTCCAAGTGAGAGGGTTGACATGTGACTGAGGATAGGCTGCCACAATAGGGGTGTCAAGCCCAAACCTCTCTGGACTCAGTCCTTCTCTTCCTTCCGGATCTCACCATCTCCCCACATATAATCAGTTCTGGTGTTTCTTTCACTGGGAACAGTGGCCATTTTCAATAGGGTCTCCCCCACTCCTGACTCCCTTTCTCCCTCTCTAAATGTATACAGTGGTGCCTCGCTTAACGGGCGCCCTGTTTAACAATGAATCCGCATAGCGATGCGGATGCTTTGCGATTTTTCCCCATAGGCCCCATTTTCCGGAAAAATGCCGGTGGGCGCTTCGGAAGGAGGGCGGGGGAGCCTTCCCTCACCCTCCTGCCCGATCGGCAGTCGGTCAGCTGGCCGAAAAAGCCGGCGTGCGCTCGGGAGGAGCCCTCCCCCGCGGTCCTTCCGAAACCCCCACCTGACCGGTCAGCTGGGGGAAAATGGGGCCTATGGGGAAAAATCGCAAAGCATCTGCATCGCTATGCGGATTCGTCGTTAAATGGGGCGCCCGTTAAGCGAGGCACCACTGTATACATTTAGAGAGGGAGAAAGGCAGTCAGGAGTGGGTGAGACCCTGGCTCCTGGCCGAGCGCCGGCCCCATTTTCGGCCAGCTGATCAGCGGTTCCAAAATGGCCGCCGCAACCAATTTTGCGCGATTTTCTCGCTTACCAAGGGCGCAAAAATGGCAGCACTATGGAGGATCTTCGCATAACGGTGGGTTTTCGCCCCATAGGAATGCATTAAATGAAGTTTAATGCGTTTCTATGGGGTTTTCCCACCCACATTGCGATGTTTCCGGATAGCAACAATTAATCCGGAACGGATTAAGGTCACTATGCAGGGCACCACTGTACATTCCCTTTTCTCTTTTTCCCTTCCAGAAAGAGGATTTATGAGACCTCTGCCTTTTCGCCTATTCTCTTGGTACCTTCAAACATACCCACTCTCCTGTTCATGGGTCTTCCTTAGTGACCCGCTCCCATTCCTCAAGCAGATCGGGAGTTTGTTTCACATTCTCCATTTTCCCATCAATACTATACCCTTCACACGAGTTGTCTTCTACTGTCTCTTTACATACTTCAGTAAAGGATCCTACCTCTTCTCCTCCCTTTAGCACCTATTTTCCTACCTCCTCCTCCACTATGCTTCCCCGTTCCCCTTCATTCTCTCTAACTTTTATCTTTGTCTCCCCCTCTGACTCCGGCCTTCTGTCCATTGTTCTCTTCTCAAAGCCTTGGCTGTCAGGTCTGACAACTGATTCTCTGTCGGGGAACTGGAAATCTTTTACCCCTCTGTTTCTAAAGGAAGAGGGGATGGTATGCTGATGGGGGAATAAACTCCCTTCTCCCTGTGCTTACAACATTCACTTCTCAATGGTACAAAAACTGCCAGGATTTTAGCCACCTTTTTTCTTTGTTAACTACAAAGCCATGCATTTCCAAAAACAGCATGGTAGTTTTAATATTCCTGAAACTTGTATATGAAAAGCCAATCTAATGAATTAATTGTTCAAAGATATATTTGCTTCCTACTATAAGACATTAATTCTCTGTAAGGGAACAAGAACATCCTTACCCTACGTTGGGTTATCCTTTCCACGTGCTCTAATAGGCAGGGTTTCTCGGTCAATCATCCGAACTGTTTGAGTGGCCTCCACAGTGGCCTCTGGGTGGCCACTACAGACTAGGACAATCCCAGAGATTCAGTTCCAACATGATTCTTTGTACTCAAAGAAGCAATAAAAATTAGGGAAAGGATGTTCTCATACTATTACAGTGGTGCCTTGCATTGCGATGCTAATTCGTTCCGCAAAAATCGCTGCAGAATGAAAACGTCGCAATGCGAAAATAAAAAGCCCATAGAAACGCATTAAAACGCAATTAATGCATTCCTATGGGCTTAAAATTCACCGTTCAGTGAAGATCCTCCATAGCGCGGCCATTTCTGTTGCCTCTTAAGCGAGGAATCTATCCCAGAAAACAGCGGGTGGCCATTTTGTTTACCCGGCAGACATTCTGAAACCGCCGATCAGCTGTTCTAAAATTGTTGCTTTGCGATGCACAGTTCCCCAAGCAGGGAACCGATCATCGCAAAGTGAAATTCCCCCATAGGGAACATCGCAAAGTGATCGCTTTTGCAATTGCAAAAAATGCATCGCAAAGCGATTTCGTTGTAAAACAGAGCAATCGCTATGCAAGGCACCACTGTATATGGAATGAGCTGGTAAGTACTGCCATATCTTACTCCTACAATGGTGGAGGCTATCCTTGCCTTGAAATATATCGAAGGTTCAGCTGATCCACAGATAGGATATAATGTTCCTAACTCAAAGAAAAAAAACACTTCATAATGACTCACAGTCACAACTGCACCACTTGCTCCACATCCTCTTTCCAAAGGATGCTTCAGTAGAAGCAAGTTATCCAGCCTCTAGGTCTTGGCAAAAGATGACACTCTTCCTTGACAGGAGGCATCATGGCATGTCCTGATTGATTCCTGCTTATCAGAATGAGAAGCAAATCTTCCTAGCATGTCCTCCTCCACTATAGGAAAACAAGATTGTTTTGGGTTTTAATGGTGGAGGGCGGGGTTTCACTTAACTGGAGCTTATTTTTGGGGTAGGGCTTATATTACAAGCATCCTGAAAAATCTACCAGGGATTATTATCAGGTTAGGTCTTATTTTTGGGGAAACAAGGTATATCTATTTAGTCCATATACTTTTAGCAACGATACTGTTGATATTTCAACAGGAAAAAAAGTTAAAGAAAAATAAATAAATCCAGAACTGAAATCAATCCCAACCATGCTCACTCAAAACACAAGCATATCAGTGTGTTCTTCTGATACCTTAATTTCTACTCCAAGTAAACTCTACAACATATTACACTAGCCTTCTCACTCCCTATATTGTACATTACAAGCAGTGTGGAAGAGCTAAAATGAAAGAACTGAACCTTGACAGTGCTAAGATCTACAAGGAACTGATTTTCATCATAATCATACCCACAGTTACTTAACCATTACTAATCAGTCCAATCATTCTGTGTTTGGAGGAAGGAAACCTGTCTGTGTTTAGTGGACTTAATTTTAGGTAAAAAGAGTTTCTCCCTATTTAGGATCTGTCAAAAGAAAATCAAAGATTGACATTCAGTTCTTTCATTTTCTTTTGGTAAAATTTAATGTACAAAAAAGGATTCAACAATATGTTTATATTTTGAGCAATGGGGACTGATCTGTGGTCTTGAGTTCTTTCTTTTTTGGAAGAACAGCTTCTATTATAACGATTTACTTTAAATTTAAGTAAAACATTTCCCCTCTTTTGCAAATTTTCCTGCTCTTTGAAACATAGGAATACACAGATATCAATACGGGCCAGCTGAACAACTTAAGACAAAAAGACTTTTTTTAAAGCTATTCTGTAAATGAACAGAGCAACCTAAAAAGTCAGACTCATTAAACAAAACAATTATCTCTAAGCCTAGATCTCTAGCTGGATCTCAAAGGAGGCTGCATTTAACTCTGTTTCTTGAAGAGACAAACTCTCTACAAGGTGTTTCACACAAAATCAGTCCCCACACTGTATCAGTGTGCTGCTCAAATTTTTCCAGTAGGAAACACATTCCAGGAACAGATAAATTTCAGTCAGGCTCATGGGGGAGGGGAACCAGCAAACCACAGTTTTCACCCCATAATCAACACTGTCCAGTGAGTAACCAGCTTTCAGTATGTGACAGGCCTAAGAAACAATGATAGAATCAGTGAGCAAAAGTTGAAAAACGTTGCCTAAAATGTTCAAAGAATGGTTTTCATCATTTATTTCTATGGGGGACAAAACTAAAACCAATCACCAATGCTCTCTCTCGTTTTCAGCACTGCTGGGCGGGGCTCTGCCCCACTAGTGTGGGACTCCACTCCCCCCATATATACAACTCCCCCCCCCAACAGGATTCCATTATGACTGGAACCACAGGGGCTGGAAATGATCACTCTGTGGGCTCACAGAGAGGAAGAGCCCTGTGTAGAGGGGGCAGAGTCATGCACGCTCAACAGCTGCACACCTTAGAGATATCCTTGCCAATCACCAATAACTTACCTATAAGGTGTGAGAATAATTACCATATTTTTCTGTTTATAAGACACCCCCTTTTTTTTAGCCCCAAAATTAAGAAAACCTAGCTTTGAGTATTCAGCCTCTGGGCTCAGAACATCAGACATTACGAGTCCCTGTCGCATCTGAAACTACAGGCTCCACCTCCAAGGAGGTGTGTTCCAATTGGTTTGTTCAGCATCAGCTGACATCAGTTCCATAAGGCTCGTGATTGGAGGAAGATAAGCCTCATGATTGAAGGAAGCCTGTTTACAGAGGCAAGGTATGGGCAGCTTTATTCTCTCTGTGGTCTCAGCTTACTTCCGTGTATAAGATGCCCCTGAATTTTTAGTGTCATGATATTAGGAAAAAGCAGCATTTTATACACAGAAAAATACAGTATTCTGATCACAAAAATAAGGCAATGCCAATTTAGTTCTCAAATATTTACTACAGAATAATATAGTAAATGGGCAAGACACAATTTGGTCCTCAATCTTGCTATACTCTAATCCATGTGTTAAGTGAAAAGTGTTCACAAAAGAAAATGTTTTTTCAAACTACTACTAAGTAGCCTGTTTCTTTTTTACTTCAACTAAAATTTAACATGAGACATACCTTTTGTTCTTGTTTAATTTGGCCATCCAATGTTTTCAAATCTTCTTCATGTTGTATTTTCAATTCTTTTATCTGTTGTCCACACTGAAAACTGGTAGTATAAACACATATTACAGACCGAAAAGCTAGTTCAAGAATGACATATTTATTAGGCCCACATCTTAAGTACCATTCAAATTTCTAAATTTATTTAATTAATTAGTTATATTTATACCCCACCTATCTGGTCATTGCAGCACTCATAAATTATGAGTTGCTCTCTTTTACCTGATAAGGCACTAAACAAAAGATATGGTCTTACACAGAATTCAGCTTCCAGTCCAGCTACGCTAACTGGTCACACCTCTCCAGAGTTTCAGGCAAAGAGGATTCTTTACCCAGCTGCTCCTTTTTAAAAAAATCTGAGACTGAAGCAGAGATCTTCTGCATGGAAAAGATGTATTCCACTGCAAAGACATGGGCACTTTTTACAGTTTGAAGCTTCTTTTCTATTATTCCCAAGACCTAAGTAACACTGGAACTTACTGTAAAATATTCCTTTCATATGGTTGTAAAGAGACATCCTTGGAATTGGTTCTCTCTCCCATTCATTTTGATAGGCAGGTATGCTGGAATTTGCTGTAATGCGTTTCTTTTACAAAAGGGGTAGAGAATATTATCAGAACCAAGTCTTCTCTCTCCTCTAAGGCAGGCATCTCCTCAGAAATCTGTTTCTATGTGCTTTAATTTAGCAGAGGCCTTAAGATGATGAGGTGGGAAGATATGGTGTTCCCTTCTTTTTCAAAATGATTTTTCCTATGGAGCTCTTGGGCACCTGAGCAAGAGAGCATCTGCTGGTGCCCAGCTCTGTCTCTGTCCCCTCCCAGACCTTTGAGGAGGGACTCAAAGTTTGGTAAAGAGGGACAGTATGAGTTGTCACTCTTTAGCAGTTTCCCCACCCTGACTGACACTGGCATAATGCAACAAAACCAGAGGGGAGCCTCTTTTCCATTCCATGTCCTACACTATCCCTCTGCAAATCCTGAACATTTTCACAGGGCATGACATCTGAAAGAGGTGTCTTCATCTCCTAAATCAGGTTTATCAAGAACAAAACTGGGTCTGAAGGGAAAGGCTATCTACAATGGGAGGAGGGAGTTTTACCTTTCCTGTACTCTCTTCTAGCGGACAATGCATTTCCATTTCACCCTCAATGCTCAGAGAAGGTAAAAAGGCCAGCATGAGGGAGTGCCACCTCTCAATGGGAATAATGGCATTTGCATTCTTCTCTGTGGCACAACATAAGACCATACTCATGGGTGTTGGTGAAAAAATGTTTTGGGCAGCAAGGATGAAAACATACAAACATGGAGAAATAATGGTAAGAAATAGCGAGACAAGCTAGTTAGCTAACATAGTAGAGTAAGGGAATAGACTGGAGCTCTGGCTTGTCTTTCCAACATAAAGCATGTTGTCTTCAAATACTGTCTTGTAATGATGTAAACCACCTTTGTACGCTCATTGTTTTCAGCTTTAAATATTGTCTTTCAATGATGTAAGTAGCCCTGGAACCTTTTGAAGGACAAGGGCAGAGTAAAAATATTTTAAATAAAAATAATAATAATGATTGGACAAAAAGAAAAAGAAAATAACATGCCTATCCAAACAGGTGAGACAATTCATTCTAAACATGTCCTTTTCTTTTATGGAAATAAGAAAAATTCAGAAACAGGTGTCACATGCACTTCTCTCTGTCTAGTCCATTTGTTGTTTATCCCAGGTAGCGGAGCCAAGATGACTTAGTTCTCCCTCTATAGAACACAAATAAGTACATATTAACTGACCAATGGTTCTGCAGTAGAAAATAGATATTTTGGTACCATTCTGTTTTTCCCCAGAAATTTCTCTCCTTGGAAATCTTGAGGAATGGTAAACAAAAGCAATTTGCTATACAGATGTTTTATATCCACTCTGCTTCACAAGTCTCTACTATACAGTCAAACATCATAAATTAAACCATCTCATCTTTACATTGTAAGCCTCCAGTTATATGCATTAAGATCATGTGTCTATCACTATTTGTCTTGCTGATAAATGAGTTTAAGAATATACATATCCCTTCTTCTTTAAGGATAACAAAGTCAACTTATCAAACTCTCTTGGTTGTGCTAAACAAGCTTCTTACTCTTTTTATATGAAGCCCCAAAACTATATGGAATTAAAAGACATAAATTTGATCTGAAATCTTAGTTCAGCTTACATCTGAACAGTTTACCAGTAAGAGACTCAGTGTAAATCTATAGCATTAATTAAAATTGCCATTTCTACACTCACCTTTCATACTCTAACCTTTTAAGAAGCTGTGTATTGTTCTTCTTGTATTCATGAAGCTGATCCTCTTGACGTATGAACTCTTGCCGCAACTCTGCAAGTTGTTCTAAGCAAAAGCAAAATATTTAAAGTAGTTGGGGGTGGGGGAATGGGACTCCTTCATGGTGTTGACAGTGATGGCAGGGTAGCTTTATGAAATGATTTCTACCTTGTTAAGTGATAACAGGAGATCATATATTTCTTTAAATGCATCTTCTCCATCAATCAGTGAACATTTGTATAGGACATCAATCGATTTTTTCTAACTGATGTTGTGTGTCCAATTTTAATATTTCATACCTTAATAAACTTGATAATTCTTTCAAAGATATTTCTCTGTACCACTTTTATTTTATTAATTACCGTATTTTTTGCTCCATAAGACGCACCTTTCCATAAGACGCACCAAATTTTTAGAAGAACACAGGAAAAAAATTATGTGCTTTATTCTCCTAAAATTTGGTGAGCCTTATGGAGAGGTCCATCTTATGGAACACACCCTAGGGTCCTTGCCACCCTCCCTCCCCCCCTCCACGGAGCCGGGGGGGGGTAAAATCGCCAGCTTCTGAGAGTGTTTGGAGGCTTATCAAGCTTCTAAACACTCTCAGAACCTGGCGATTTCGCCAGGCCTGGCCCCGTGGGGGCGGGGGGAGGGTGGCAAGGGTCCAAGGGAGCCTCCCTTGGACCCTTGCCACCCTCCCCCCGCCCCCACGGGGCCAGGCCTGGCGAAATCGCCAGGTTCTGAGAGTGTTTAGAAGCTTGATAAGCCTCCAAACACTCTCAGAAGCTGGCGATTTTCCCCCCCCGGCTCCATGGGGGGTGGGGGGAGGGTGGCAAGGGTCCAAGGGAGCCTCCCTTGGACCCTTGCCACCCTCCCCCCGCCCCCACGGGGCCAGGCCTGGCGAAATCGCCAGGTTCTGAGAGTGTTTAGAAGCTTGATAAGCCTCCAAACACTCTCAGAAGCTGGCGATTTTCCCCCCCCGGCTCCATGGGGGGTGGGGGGAGGGTGGCAAGGGTCCAAGGGAGCCTCCCTTGGACCCTTGCCACCCTCCCCCCGCCCCCACGGGGCCAGGCCTGGCGAAATCGCCAGGTTCTGAGAGTGTTTAGAAGCTTGATAAGCCTCCAAACACTCTCAGAAGCTGGCGATTTTCCCCCCCCGGCTCCATGGGGGGTGGGGGGAGGGTGGCAAGGGTCCAAGGGAGCCTCCCTTGGACCCTTGCCACCCTCCCCCCCCCCACGGGGCCAGCAGCGACGAAATTGCTGCATTCACACCATTAGACGCACTGACTTCCCCACCCATATTTTGGAGGGGGAAAAGTGTGTCTTATGGTGCAAAAAATACAGTATACTTATAATCCATTCTTCCCACAGTAAGTTCAATGTAGCACACCTAAAGGGTAAACAGGTTCTAGGAACTGGGGGACTACATCTAACCTCTTGATAATGAATCTGCTTTGGTTCTTATAGTAAATGACAGCTTTCCTTTAAAAATACAGTGGTGCCCTGCTTGACGATTACCCCGTTTAATGACGAATCTGCTTTACGATGTTCTTTTTTGCGATCGCTATTGTGATCGCAAAACGATGTTTCAATGGGGTTTTTCCGTTTGACAACGATCGATTCCCTGCTTCGGGAACCAATTTTTCGCTTAATGACGATCAAAAGCAGCTGATTGTCAGGTTTCAAAATGGCCACCCGCTGTGCAAAATGGCTCCCCGCTATGCTTTAGGACGGATTCCTCGCATTACAGGCACCGGAAAATGGCCGTCCTATGGAGGATCTTCGCTGGACGCTGAGGTATTTCTCCTATTAGAATGCATTGAAGCGGTTTTCAATGCATTTCAATGGGCTTTTTCATTTTGCTTGACGAGGATTTCACTTAACAGCGATCTGAACAGAACGAATTATTCTCGTCAAGCGAGGCACCACTGTATAGTGAATGATCTCTGTGTGCCTGGTTTACAAGTAGAATCAAGCCTTTACGAACACAACTCCACTTGTAAACAGGATGAATGGGAACAACTTGTTTTTAATGAAAAATTGCTTTCCTCCATTGCTATTGCCTCTTTAGTAACAAATCTGGTGGCAGTGGCAAGACACCAAAGATATAGTTGGAGGTGGGGTGAAGAAGTAGTGCTATGTGCTGTTCAGCCCTGATATGATTTCTCTCTCCTTATTTGTATTTATAAATCGGTGAAATAGATATCAAAAATAAATCTCACAGAGAGCTGCCCCTAGATGTCTCACCGCTGGAATCTTCTATGCAACTGTATCATTTATCTTCTAATACCTTTGTGTGTATAAGTGTGTGTGTTCTATGCCATCAAATCAGAACCAACGTATAATAACGTAATATGGCTTTCAAAGTAAGTGAGATATTTAAGGAGTGGTTTTTACCAGCTCCACTCCCCCAATGAGTTTCCGTGATTAAGTGGGGATATGAACCCTGTTCGTGAGAATACAATCCATCACTCCACACTAAGAAGCCACTTTAATACCTCTATATATGAGGGGGTGCTGATAAGTATTGACACTTTGCCAGAAAAAAATTGAGCTAGGAAGCTATAAATTGCAGGGTGTATTGGCCAAATTGGCCAATTTATTTGTATCCAATGGTGCAAAAATCAACTACCTATGATTTTAACTTATCTTTCATTGTTCAGGTCCAAAGTGAACATGGTAGCACCTCCAGAAAAGTTCCAATGTGGAAGAGCACAGGACCATAAGCAAGTTCCTGTTTCTCCAAGGGAAAGTTGCAAAGCAGATCCATGATGAAATGCCACAAACTATGGGTGACAGCGGCCCTTCATATGCAACAGTTAAGCACTGGGTTGTCAATTTTAAAATTGGCCATTTTGGTGTTGAAAGTGAGAAACCCAGTGGAAGGCCTGCTTCTGTCTCTGTGCCTGCAAATGTGAAAGCCATCCATGACATGATCATGGAGGACCGCCGAATATCAGCCGAAAGTATTGCTATATATCTGAGAATATCATGTGAGAGAGTATCATGTGCCATTATCCACAACAACTTGGAAATGAGAAAGCTAGCAGCAAAGTGGATCCCCAAACTTTTGACAACCGAACAAGAGGGGAAACGTGTAGAGTCATCGGTGGCTGTTTTGGAACATTTTGCAAGAAATGTGTCAGATTTCCTGGGCACACTGGTAACTGGTGATGAGACATGGATCTACTGTTATGATCCTGAGACAAAGGAACAGTCTAAGGAATGGAGGCACAGTGGTTGCCCCAGGCCAAAGAAGTTCCAATGTAAAGGTCGGTGCAGAAGCAAATGGCAACAGTTTTTTGGGATAAGAAGGGAGTTCTGCTGGTGGACTACCTCCAACAGGGATCAACCATCAATGCAAAATATTACTGTGCTTTATTGACAAAGTTGAGGCAAAACATCAAGGAAAAACATAGAAGACAGCTCTCCAAAGGTGTCATCCTGTTGCATGACAATGCCTCATCACACACTGCAGGTAAAACAATGGCAAAACTGACCTCTTTAGGCTTTCAAGGGATGCCCTATCCACCCTATTCTGACTATTATCTGTTTCCCAAACTCAAAAAAACACCTAAAGGAACAACAATTTGGGAGTGTTCTGGAGGCAACTAATGCTGCAAATGAGTGGTTACACCAGCAGCCGGAAGAATTTTATTTGCAGGGACTTAAGAAGCTGCAGGACAGATGTCACAGGTGCATTGACTTCCTGGGGGAATATGTACAATAGTGTGGCAGTTACAGCTTCCTAGCTCAATTTTTTCTGGGAAAGGCTCAATACTTATCAGCACCCCCTTGTACCAGAAAAAACTACTAACAGAAGTCATACAACTTTATTATTTCTTTCATATGGCTTATATTCTTTTGCTTAAACGTGGGGTACTATAACTTCTTGAAATAATATAGTAAGAATGCCAGTGGAAGTAAATTGCTACATTTATTTGCTAACACTATTCATTATTAGAGCTAATAGAGTTATTACAAAGACGTATGGCTTCACACTCTTTTCCTGATCATGATTCAAAATTCCATACCACTGTTTCTATGAGCTTTAATTATTAAAGTGCTACAGTGATTGCTGGTATAATTCTTAATAGTGGCGAGCATACTGACAGGACTTTAATTCAAAACTTTCCTTCTCTCTTAACATAGTTTTAAGAAAACAATGTTACATTTATCCGGTTTATAAAGCTATTAAAAAGATATTAAAATACTACTTTGTGAAACAAACATATTTCTACATTCTGTAACAAACCAGTGTGCAGTTGAAGCAACAATAAGTGGATAATAAGGTAGTTACTTTCCAAGTCAGATAAACATATAAAAAGATTCTAGACCCTGCCAAGATTCCTTTGCTTGTTAAACAGCCCCTAGGATTTCTAGAGCTAATTGCTGCATATCACTTAGTTTATTGGACCTATCAGATCTTCTTACCCTTTAACCGGTGTATATCTGCCATTTGGTACGATATGTTGTTCTGAAGCTTGACCTGAAAAATATGTTAATGGTCACACTATTATGTAATTAAAGTTTACATAACAATTTGACTCTACGCTCCCGTCACCATTTACTTTGCCATTCCTTGCTCAAGAAAAGGAGCATAACCTGTGGAATGCCTGCTTTCTATATCTGGAACTGAAACTAGGGTGGATAAAAATCAATGATTTTTTTAAATCAAAAAATCAGATTTTAAAAATTTGAATTGCTTCTTTAATTTCAATAAGATTTTTTAAAAAATAAAATGCTTTTTGAGGAAAAATTATCTAAAGATAGTTTTCTGTTTAAAAAACATTATACTCCAATGGTTATTCATCATGAAATATGGATTAGTTTTTAATGTAGCATGAGGCTGTGTATTCATGCAATGTTTAAATTTTTGGTAAATGAATTCCATTAATCTATTCACAACGTCATGCTCTTCCAGAGGTTTATGTAAGATTATTAGGCATTTTTTTCGATCTAGAGGATTTTATCACAGATGCTTGGTTCTACAGTTCTCAAAACTGAATTTATATCTGCAGAGATCACATGCCTCTTTTTCACAGCAAAAATGTTATAAAAGAAAGATACAGAGTTGAGAAAAATACCTTAATCCAATTGCAAATTTATGTACACATAAATGTACTACCTCCTTTTTAAGTGCTAGTTTCAAAAAATTCAATGAATGAATTTTTAGGAGTGGAATAGATCTACACAAGAAACTAAACATGAGAACAAAGGCAAGCAGCAAAAATGGAAGTGAAATCTTTTCAGCAGAATACTTGACAAGTCCTTGGATCTTTTTGAGTATCGCCTGAGGTTTATCCTATTGTGTTCTCACAGCCAGGATCCGATGCTTGTTGTGGTTTTTTCAGGCAGGTGGTTTTTCTTCCTAACGTTTCGCCAGTCTCTGTGGCGAGCATCTTCAGAGGACAGGAGCTAGAATTCTGTCTTTGTTTTGGTGTAGTGTGTGGGACTGTTGAGTATTTATAGCTGTGGGATCAGGTTTTGTTCTTTTCAGATTGGGTCATGCCTGTGATCAGGGTGTTTTTTGTTAGGGGTGTATTATTGTGATAAGGGGGAGATGATCTGTCACTGTGACTCATGGGTGTCGTCAGCTAGTCTTTTGTATGCAGTGATCACCAGTCCTTGTGGCTGGGTAGAGTTCGTTGAGCTTTTGCAGGCTGTGTTTTTCAGTGCTGGGAGCCAGGCTTTGCTGGTTTTGAGACTTCCTTCTTTTTTGTTGAAGCTGTGCTGGTGTTTGTGGATTTAAACACAGAGTTCTAGCTCCTGTCCTCTGATGATGCCGGTTACAAAGACTGGTGAAACATTAGGAAAAAAAACCTCCAGATCATGGCCAAACAGCCCCCCCCAAAAAAACCCACAACACCCATTGTTTATCATATTATTTCCCTGGAGGAGAAAACCTATAATGGCAGGAGGCTGTAAAACAGACCCACCTTTGGAATATTTTTATGAAGTTACTCTACCTACATGTAAGGAAGGCATGAGTACAAAATGCAAACGAAATTCAAGTGGCCCAAATGAAACAACGTAATGAAAAGTGCTGTGATGAAAACGGTAAAAGGAACATGTTTGAACAGGCAGCAACTTCAGGTTGGTAAACATTTTGATTTCATATTTCTTAAAAACTGCCTTGAGGAATTGTCATGTTTGAGCAAACTTGTACAGTGGTGCCTCGCTTAACAATTGCCCCGCATTACGACGAAATCGCTGTACGATGATCTTTTGCGATCCCAAAACGATGGTCTAAATGGGGTTTTTTCGCTTTGAGATGATAGGTTCACAAAGCCTTGGGAATATAAAAAGATAATTGTCTATTCTATATTAAATATTCTATATGAAAGTGTTCATATTAAAGAATCAGATGAGAAAAAAGAACTAGTCAATAAGAGAAAAATGCACTACTTGTAAACAGAAACGCTGCTGAATTTAGAGCTCTGAAACTTGTATGTTTAGTTTTTAAATTACAGTGGTGCCTCGCTTTACGATTGCCCCGCATTACAGTGGACCCTCGACTTACAGACGGCTTGACTTACAGACGGTATGCGGATTCGTCATTAAACGGGACGCTTGTTAAGAGAGGCACCACTGTATCACCTTGCCGACAAAGGACCGCAGAGTCAAAGCTATGGTTTTTCTAGTAGCGATTACAGAAGTTAGAGCTGGACGATCAAGAAGGCTGACCGCCGAAGAATTGAGGCTTTTGAAATGTGGTGCTGGAAGAGACTCTTGAGAGTCCATTGGACTGCAAGGAGAACAACCCTATCCATCTTACAGGAAATCAACCCTGAGTGCTCACTGGAAGGACAGATCCTGAAGCTGAGGCTCCAATACTTTGGCCATCTCATGAGAAGAGAAGACCCCCTGGAAAATACCCTGATGTTGGGAAAGTGTGAAGGCAAGAGAAGGCGACGACAGAGGACAAGATGGTTGGACAGCGTCATTGAAGCTACCAACATGAGTTTTACCCAACTCCGGGAGAACGTGGATGTCAGGATGGTCTGGTGTGCTCTGGTCCATGGGGTCACGAAGAGTCAGACACAACTAAACGACTAAACCACCACAACACCTATAAATACTCAACTATCCCACAAACTGCACCAGAGCACAGACGGAGTTCTGAATCCTGTTCTCTGAAGATGCCGGCCACAGAGACTGGCGAAACATTACGAAGAAAAACCTTAAGAACACGGCCAAACAGCCTGAAAAACCTAAAACAACCATCAGATCCCAGCTGTGAAAGCGTTTGAGAATCCATCTTTTCTATTTGTTGAGAGGTTTTTTTAGTGTTCATGAAGGGGTCTGCACTATGTTAGCTTGATACATGACATTAAAGTATTTCTTCTAATTGGCGTAATGGACCATCTAATCAGAAAGTAACATCCTCTCGATATATCTATCTCATCTTCGAAGAGCTAGAAGCAATTACAACTAGTTTCAGTGGACTCTGAAGGGGCCTCAGGAATGCCAAAAAGCAAACTAGGTGAGGAGTCAAAGCATACCTGTTTAGCTCATTTAGAGCTAATAAAAAGGTAAAGGTTCCCCTTGACAATTTTTTGTCCGGTCGTGTTCGCCTCTAGGGGGCGGTGCTCACCCCCGTTTCCAAGCCATAGAGCCAGCATTTGTCCGAAGACAATCTTCTGTGGTCACATGGCCAGTGCGACTTAGACACGAACACTGTTACCTTCCCACCAAGGTGGTCCCTATTTATCTACTTTGCATGCTTTCAAACTGCTAGGTTGGCAGGAGCTGGGACAAGCAATGGGCGCTCACTCCGTCACATGGATTCGAACTTACAGCTGAAGATCTACAGATCTTACAGCACAGAGGCTTCTGCGGTTTAACCCGCAGCGCCACCACGTCCCAATTTAGAGCTAATAGCCACCTGTTTATAATTTTGTATGTTGTATTCACTTCACAAAATAATCAGAAATATCAACATAAAGGTTTCTGGAAACGATCCACCTTCAAGATCACCATTCTCCTATTCTAAAGTTCCAGATTTATCTGTCCAGGATAGTGTTTTAGTCACATTATACACAACACACATCCACAGTATATCACCTAAAAGAAAGAAAAAAGCCAACCATCCACAACTACCATAGGTATGTTTGTGATAAAAACTAAATTAGAAAAACAGTTAATTTATGAAAAAAAATTGTCCAGTTTGTTTATGCAACAAACTCTTCTGTCTGATTGAAAACCCACATTTCATTAATATGATTCAGTCACTGGATACAGGATACAGTCCAGCAGATGTTGCAGGGAAACTACTGGACAAAATGTACGACAGAAATGGAGCAATGTGAAGCAGATCTAGAGAGTAAAATTATTAACCCAAGTCTTGATGGATGGAATAATGTCCACAATGATCCTCTTGTATATGTAACAACAAAATACAGGAATGACTTTTTTGCAGAAACTATTAATATGTCAGGAAGTGCACACACAGCAGAATACTTACAAGAAGTGTAATACTTACAAAAGCTACAATAACATGTGAACAAAAATTCAGATGTCTAGTATGTAGTTGGTCAGAGACAAAGCTGCAAATGTATCTAAGATGAGAAGAAATTTAGAAGAGCAGGTAGGGAATACAATGCTAATAACATATGGTTCCAGTTCTCGTGTGCTGCATCTCCTAGTCAAAGACTTCAGTGTTCCAGAAATAAAGATTAATGTTGTTGAAATTGCTAAATACTTCCATAACAATCATTTTGATATAGCAGCTCTGGAAAAAAATGGGTGGAACCACAAGATGTTGGATGCAATTCTGCAGTGGACTGTTTAGAGTATATTGACAACTGTTCTATTCTGATAGTTTGTGAACAAAATCAAGAGAAAATAGATGGTGCTGTCATGGCTAAAGTCCTCAACACTGCGCTTAAGAGAATAGTTGGACATATGCTGAGCATCTTGAAACCTATTTTTGAGGTTTAAACAAAATATAGAAAAATAGCAGTTTTATTGCTGATACTGTTGAAATTTGGAAGGAATGAGTGTGCACTTGAAAACAGAATTATACACTGAGAGAATTAAATGACAAGTATTTGGAAAAAATGAGACAAACACTGTCTCCAGTTAATTTTCTCAAAAAAAAATGTCAATATCTCGTACTAAAGTCAAAGCTTAAGTGTTAAGGAAGAGGAGTTAGCTATGACATGTGTATCCAGCAGTCATCCATCTGCAATACCAACTATAATAAACTTCAGAGCTAAAGGGAAACTATTCAAGAAATATGTTTTCTGATGGTGTTTTAAAGAAAGTCACACCAGTGAATTGGTAAAAATTACTTAAGCACTTACGAGACTGTTGAAGTAACAATTTCAGTTTTAACAGCAGTAGCTTCTGCTGGCATAGAAAGAATATTATCTTCCTTTGGACACATTCATTCTAAACTGAGAAATCATTTGGGGCTCAAAAAATCAGGAAAGCTTGTTCTTCTTTTCCAGATTATGAACAAACAAGAAGATGAACTGTCTGACATACAGAGTTTAAACTCCAGCTGCCTACGCTCAGAGAACACAGATCTATTAGCCTGAACTTCTTTCTATCACATACAAAAGAAGCTGTACTTCCAGATGAGACTTTAACTAAATTATCATACTGCCTTATTTGTGGAATTCTGCAGCAATACAAACATTTCAGTTCACAGTCCTATTGTGCTGCGTTTATTTTCCTCCTTTTTTTGCTAAATACAATTAGCTTTTTAAAAAATGGAATACTTGATACTTGCACAATGCCATTTAATTATGATTGATAGGCCTTCTCTTTCTAGAACAGGCCAAAGACTGCAGCAGTTTCCTCTGCCATGCAAATGATGGAAATCTGAATGGATACCATACAACTGAAACAGAGCACATAAAATTAGTCATCCCACCAAAAATGTCAGGACATTTTACTTTCACATATTCCAAAGCCTTTCATCTCACCAGGATAACTTCACTTTCAGTATTGATTCAAATGTCAGGGGCATGTCACATATTCATAAACATATACATGAATGCAGATCACATACCAAAATCACTTACCAGATAGCATAGACAAACATCAACTATGTTACAGGATCCCTCACCTTGCTATCCTCACATTTTCTGATCTGACCATCCTTGGCTTGTAGCAGGCTATTCAAGTGACTTTGGTCTGCTTCCTTCTGCTCCAAGTATTTCTTGTGTGACTCCACCTGAAGCAAGAGCTCCGAATTTCTTTTCTCCAGTCGTCCACGAGCAACATCACTGCGCTTGGCCTGGCCCTGCAACTCAGCCACCTCCTCCTGCAGCACAGACTGGCGAGTTGAGGTGCTCCAGTAATTGAAGGCAAGAATGGCGATAACTAGCAGCAATGCCACAAAAAGAAATGAAGGGAGACGGCCACCCCTTCGATTGGCCCCAAACCCCACCATGGGGGAGGCTGGGAAAGGAGGCACCTCAGTTTCTCACTGCACCTGGTAGGGCAGAAATTACAAAGATGTTAACATGTCTGTGGAATAAATTGGGAATAAGGTGTTTTTGAGAATATCAGCATGTTGCTATCTGTAAAAGAAAACCAAAATGTATGATACAGTCATATACAGGCAAATGAATGTAATGCCACTTGAAGATATGAAAAAAAAATCCAAAACCAGTTTATGCTGCCACTCTAATTTGAAATGTATTTGTAAAATAAGAATCCTGGGTTTATTTTCAACCTCGATCCTTGATGTATATTTTAACTACCTTTTTTTGCCAGGAGAGTGAACTTAGTAGACTAAACCAGCCTGCAGCCTGCAGGTAAGAGCTGTTTAGCAGCCCAGAAATGTTAAACAAAGAAAAAGAAAGTACACCTGAGGATAAGGGAAAACAAAATTGAAAGAGAAAAGACCAAATTTTGCCTCTATGTAACACTGGTATGCAAAGGCGCCAGAGAACAAAGGAAGGGAGAGCAAGAAAAGAGAAGCAGGTTGGAGGGGAAAAACAAAAAGGCGCATCGGTCTCTCTGCAGCACCCGAATTCCGCAGCGGGGCCCGAAGTCGCCGGGCCTGAGCCACACAGGACGGGGTCGAGCCCGGCACCTCACCGCCTGGACAAAGCGCCGCAGCCATGGCTTTGCGGAGGGGGGGGGTCAATCCGAGGTGCTTGCAACCGTCTCTGGCCTTGGTGGACAGGAACCCTATAGGGTAGGCCGTGCCTCGGGAGGCCACGATTCCCTTCTCCGCTGAGGAGTCCCTGAGGGGAGCTCAGGGCGGCCTGAAAGGCGCGAGGAGGAATCGGGAGGGGAGAGGAGAGGGGAGGCAGCCTCCCCAGAAATCGGTGCCCTCCGCCGGCCTCAGCTCTAGGAACAGGTGCGGTGCCCCCTTCACGGGCGGCGGGGGTTAGCGAGGTCACCTCCCCATCATCACACTCAGCCAAGCGCCGAAACACACACACCTCCGGGCGAGGAAGAAGCAGCCGCCCCGCCTTTCCTCCTCCTCCTCCTCCTTCTTCCAACCGGTGGTTCTTCCGAAGCCGCGGCGGCGGCGACGCTACTTCCGCGTTCGCGTTCGCCGCGGCGGCGGTCCCACCTCTCGCGAGAGTTCCCCGCCCCCCCTCCCTCCTT